CCTAGAAAGTCTGGTGACAAAGGATTTCAGGAGGGCATGTTCTTGTTGGGATCTCAACAAGAACACATCTTCAGGTATCTTGCTGACTTCAGCCTTAAGAATTGTGTCTCAGTTATTTGTGACAGATGTTTCCTGACCTGAAAACCCCACAGATGGAGGTTCCCTGGCTCTCCCAAGCAATTAGTGCTAGTGCTTTGCCATCTGTTATATATATATGTGTGTGTGTGTGTGTGTGTGTATAAATAATATATATATATTTTGTGATCTCCTTTTCTGTAATTCAAGTCTGTTATTGAAGACTCAAGTTCTCCTTAGACATAAAAAGTGCTTTGTTACTGTTCCTTGCAGCTTCCTGATACATGCTAGCACTGATGGTTATCCCCCTCAGTGTTCATCTCCACTAGATTAAGGAACGCTGCTTATTGCATCCTTTTTTGCATGACATATTTCCTAGACTTACTTATGGTCATTTTCATTACTTATGCTTGGTCCAAATCTCTTTTGAACTTCAGCATTGAAAACTGGACAGCGATGAGCCTTATTCGCGTGCTTCCCTGCTTAGCAGCTGGCACTCTGAGGTGCTTTTTTCTCTCCAAGCGCTAAAGGCATCAGCAAGGTTAAACAGAGTGGCCTCCCAAAAGCGAGCCTGAAGGGAACAGCCTAGAACCCGAGTGCTGCAGTGCTCAGGACTGGTAGAGCTGGCGTCTCTTTGAACATAACCCCTAATGACAGTGCTGAAAGGATAAACAATCATTCAGTTTTGAGAGATGGCAAGTGGGTATGGCCAGCAATGCAGCTTATAAAATACCATTGGAACACATTGTTTAGAAATGTCTGTTAGTGGAAACTAATTAAATTTGGTAGACTGGAATATATAAAGTAGGATGCAGCCAAGAATTAATGAGAGAACCAATTGGCATGTGGATTCATTTATCTGTTTTCCTTCCAAAAATAGCCTCAGTTTCTAGCCCTGGGATGCTTAAGGGTAGAGCTGTGAAACAGCTGGACACAAGCAGAGGGTTAGCATCATTATGGTGAAGAAAGTTAAAGTATCATGAGATGGATTTTATTTATATGTTTTTTTTTCAATGCAAGTTTTCCAACTGTTTGCCTTGGGAACAGAGGAGGAGAGCAGTGTGCCTTCTCCTGGAGTAGCTGGGGTTTATAGCATGGTATCCTATATAAATCCTATTGGTAACTCCTACTTTTTTTGTTTGTTTGTTTTTAGTCGTGGTAGTACCTCAAAATCCTGTCACGTGAATCTCAATAGTCCCATATTTCATGTGTTATATAAGATGTCAGCTCAAACATAAGCCAGTTTCTCCCTTATCCCCAAGCCATTACTTGTAGCTTAATTTGCAGTTTGGGCTTGAAATCTTCCTTGAAGCCTGTTGTTTAGTGATGTGCTATTTTAAGTGGATGCTGGGGTAGCTTTGCAACAGTAAGTCCTGCAGTTGTTCCCCCCGGGGAGGGGAAAGCCTGTCTCCCCATGTGCCCAACCTCTCTTTCAACAGCCGTAGAGGGTCACACAGCTCCAAGTCAGGTAGCACAGGCAACCCAAGGGTGAGAGTTTTGAGTGAAGGGAGGTAATTCCTGCATGTTGTGGCCTTCTGAGGTCACTGGTAGCAAACTAATCCTTCCTTTTCTGTCTGTATTTTTTTTTGGTGTCTTTGTTTGAAATTCCACATAAAAGGTAAATGGTAATCTTTATTTTTCTTTCTGAACTACTGGCTCGGGTGTCTCACCTAGACCCTCACATCTGATGGAGCTACTGACAAGTAGGATTTTCAGAGATATCTTAAGAAGGAAAGTCCTACCTACTTTATTTGGTCATACAAGATCACCTGGCATTTATTTCCAGAACTGGCTACTAGGTGTACAGACAGTACATTTATACACATTTGAAGAGGTCTGGCTATATATTGCTTCTGACTTGAAGCCAACAAGTCTGTGTGATGCTGCTTTGTGTAGGCTTTCTGATTTGGGTTGGTTTTTGGGCATTTCCTTACTGCCCTTTTTTGTCTGTAAAAGACAGCTCGTATGCCCAAAACTTCTCTCCCCTGCTGATGGTAACTATTGTGCACTGTGGTCTGCTGTCACTTGTCTGCACATCTGCTGCAACAGAGCAAGTCAGGTAGCACAGGCAACCCAAGGGTGAGAGTTTTGAGTGAAGGGAGGTAATTCCTGCATGTTGTGGCCTTCTGAGGTCACTGGTAGCAAACTAATCCTTCCTTTTCTGTCTGTATTTTTTTTTGATGTCTTTGTTTGAAATTCCACATAAAAGGTAAATGGTAATCTTTATTTTTCTTTCTGAACTACTGGCTCGGGTGTCTCACCTAGACCCTCACATCTGATGGAGCTACTGACAAGTAGGATTTTCAGAGATATCTTAAGAAGGAAAGTCCTACCTACTTTATTTGGTCATACAAGATCACCTGGCATTTATTTCCAGAACTGGCTACTAGGTGTACAGACAGTACATTTATACACATTTGAAGAGGTCTGGCTATATATTGCTTCTGACTTGAAGCCAACAAGTCTGTGTGATGCTGCTTTGTGTAGGCTTTCTGATTTGGGTTGGTTTTTGGGCATTTCCTTACTGCCCTTTTTTGTCTGTAAAAGACAGCTCGTATGCCCAAAACTTCTCTCCCCTGCTGATGGTAACTATTGTGCACTGTGGTCTGCTGTCACTTGTCTGCACATCTGCTGCAACAGAGCCCTAGGTAAAGAAAATTACCCAAGACTCTCCTACAAGAGTCTGAAGACACTTGTGTCCTACTCATGTCCTAATTTCTGTTTCATATTGTGTGGTTGTAGTCAGGATGTGTGGAACATTTCTACATCAGAATGCAGGTATAGCACCTTGCCCTCCGTTGGGCCTTGCTGAAATCCCAGTTCTGTGTTTTTTTTTTTTTTTTTTTTTTTTAAAACTATGCATTCGCCTGCCTTGGGGTCCCTTTTTTTTTTTTTTTTTTTTTTTTTTTTGCCTATGTGCATCTCCGGTAATTTTGATAGTGCGATGTACTGCACTTTCCTTGCTTCTGGCAACATCAAAAGTCCTACCTATTAAACTGTAGCTGAGGTGTGCAGGAGCTGGTGGGCAGCAATTTCCTCACAGTTTTGTTGTCAAGGTTTCTGGTTAGGATCAAGAAAAACACATATTTGAACAATCTAATAGTCAAATGACAGAATGGTCTACAAGTTGCTTTCTTCTGCAAGTCTATTCCTTTGCAGCCTAGTGATGGAGTGAATGTGGGGTTTTGTTATATATTTGTATCCAAAAGACTATGCATTCGTCTGCCTTGTGGTCCCTAAATAAGGCAATAAACGTCAGGCAGTAAATGGCAGTATCCCTCCTTTGGTCCTCGCTTGTTACCAAGTTCTTCCTAGATTCTGAACGTTGTTTTTCTCACCATGTTCACGTCTGCTGTGTGATGGGAGTTTGTTGTGCAGTTTCCTTGTGATGGCAAGGACAGGGGGTTTATTC